TCAGGTGAATGTGGCCAGGCCTGAAAGACCCTGGGATGCAGTTCCTAGCCGGCTGTCACCAATGAGTGGATTGTTGTGACCCAGCGAATCTTTGGTATCCTCCCGGGGCTTCCTGGCAGAAATGGAGATGAAGAATTAAATCTCTTGTGGCTGCCGGGCGACTGCCTGTCCCTCGCTGGGGAGAGATAACCAGTCCGACTGCAGACGAACGGTTCCCCAAATACAGGTGGGGGCTGCGCCCCGGTGACATACCCAGCAAAGCAGACAGGGGACAGCTACCATTCATTCAGTACCCAAAACACACTCACCTGCAACAAGCCCCAGCTCCCCTGTAGGTGTCTCGCCACACCTGGCTTGTTAAATGGGTGAGCAGTGATTTCCCTCAGTCTAATAAAACCAGTCGAAATGCTCTATCCTGGGGTGGGTAAAGATGCTCACTCTGTGACCTGGCGACACTCTGCTAAGCAGAGATCCCACAGTGACACCCGTGCAAAAAAGGTCCTGTCACCTGTTCACACAGAAAGACAGAGTTTAAAACCCCTCTGGGCATCCTTTGGAGGAGGGGGGAGAGCCTGGGAAGGGTTTTGAGGCTCCTGCCTCAGCTGCCCTGGTTCTGCTCTTGGGACGAGCCGGAAGACACGTGTAGCCGCGTTCACATGAGCGTCGAAAGAGGGCAGGAGATTGCCGTCTTTTAAAGCGGGTTGAAGATAAATGATGAATTTGCGAGCTCTTTGATGTCAGGCCTTGTCTGGGCAGCCCCTGGCACAGTGAGGGCCCAGATCTTGGTCAGGGTCTGTGCAGCGCCTGGCACAATGGGGGTCCTGATCTTGGGGGGGTGTCTTGCAGTCCTACTAGATTAATATGTAAATTAACACAAGGTTTCAGCAAAAATGCTCTGTTCCCCTCCCCTGAGTGCGAAAAGCCCATTCATCAAATGAACTAAAAGGGCAAACGACAACTAGTGACCCGGGTTGGGCTTTGTCCAAGTGGCTGAAGGGGACGATGCACCCAAAGCCCATGGACCATCCTCAGCACCTAACTCCCTTTGGCTGCTCGGGAAGCATTTGTCCAGCACTTTGCAGACACGCAACCCGTTATTAACCCATTGTGCAACCCCGGGGTCAGGGCCCGAGCGTCACCGGCGAGCTCTGTGCCGGTCTCAGCTCCGGCGCTGAGAAGCTGATGGATCCCCCCATTAAAGGATTGCAGAGGGGAGCCCTTGGTAATCGGCATGACCTGGTTAATCCGGGTCTGGCTCATCTGCCCGTCTGGGGCATGCAGCATGTGGTGCCCTGCTCCCCCTCCCCGTGGTGCTGGAGGCCGATGGGGGGCAGTTTGGGGGGCAGGGGGAGTTTGGGGGACATGGGGGGGAGTTTGGGGGGCAGGGGGAGTTTGGGGGACGTGGGGGGAGTTTGGGGGACATGGGGGGGAGTTTGGCTGCTCTGATCCGATCCAGCCTAAGGAGAGATTGTGGTGCTAACCCCCCTCCCCCCCACACACACACACACTAACACAGACAAACAGCTCAGACATCTCATTCCTGCCCTCCCCTCCCGCTCAGGCCTTACCCTGAGCCTAATCAGTAATTAGACTAAGGAAGGAGCCATCTGGGGGCTGCCCAGCAGTAATCCACCCACTAGAAGAAAAATTCCTAATTTACACCAAAGTGTGGGCGGAGGGGGGGGAGGCCAAACAGGGCGGAGCAGGATGGGCCTGTGCCCGGCTCTGCTGTCTGATGGCATGCCGCACGAGCAGGCAGGCGTGGCATGGAGTGAGTGCCCGGGGGGCGATGCCAGAACAGCGGGGAGATGGCGCATGGGAGACGAAGGGGGCTCCGGCATCTGACACTGGGTTCATTGCCTCCCTCTGCCTGTCCGTGTTCATGCTTCCTTCCCCGCCCGCCCCACGCCCCCAAATGCAACAGCAGCTACTGGAGTGTTCAGGAAATGTCTCTATTCCCCCACCCTCCTCGCTGTTCTGACCACTAGAACCCACTCCCCTCCCAGAGATGGGGAGAGAACCCAGGAGTCCTGGCTTCCAGCCCCCCGTCCCCTAACCACCAGCCCCCACTCCCCTCTCAGAGCCGGGGAGAGAACCCAGGAGTCCTGGCTTCCAGCCCCCCTGCTCCAACCCACCACCCCCACTCCCCTCTCAGAGCCGGGGAGAGAACCCAGGAGTCCTGGCTTCCAGCCCCCCTGCTCCAACCCACCACCCCCCACTCCCCACCCAGAGCCGGGGAGAGAACCCAGGAGTCCTGGCTCCCAGCCCACCACCTCCCACTAGCTCACTTTGCACAGCTGTAAACAATGGGTGTGTAAACTGTGACAGTGCAAATCACCGTGTCCTGGTGCAAACTGTGCCTCTACTAGGGCTTGGCACCACTGCCAGCGCAAACCCCAGAGGAAGTAGGGCCTGGATTCCTGCCCCTGCAGCTACCGCAGGGGCCTGGCTGTGGGTGAGGAGGGGTGCAGCACCCCCTGCTGTTAATCTGCTTTAGCACAGGGTGGCTGGGCGGCCAGCGGTACCCCCAGTTGGGCCGTCCCTTTGCTGTGGCCAGGGAGATGCCCGGACAGGAGATGCCTGACTGCTCAGCGAGCGGATCTGTCTGGGGTGCAGAGGAGCTGGGGTGGAGGTGGGGTGTGAGACTTGCTGGGGAGTGGGGCCCAGAGATGGGACGGGATCGGGAATTGGGGGCAAGAGCGAGATGTCAGCAGCTGAACCCCAATCGATCCATCAGGCCAGGTATCCTGGTGGCGAGGGGCCAGCTACGGGACACGGCCCCCGGTGGAGGGGGCAGCCCCAGGCTTAACAGAGGGGTGTGTGCAAGGCCAGGCTGGGCAGGGCATCAGCGCCCGGTTCTCTGCCCCCTGCCCCATGCAGGGTCATTTCCATCACCTCAGGGCGAGGCTGGGGAGACCCAGGTGCCAGGAAATGAACCGGAGTCTCTGTCCTGGTGCTGGCAGGAATGGGGAGCTGCGGGGGGGCGGGCAGGGGGGAGGATAAACGATTGTACTTAACATATAACTCCAGTCATTATTAATAGGGGTAGTATCTTGGTGCCTAGGAATCCCAGGCTCCCCACTGCGCCAGGCCCTGTACATTCCTATTGCTATTAGGTGTATTACGGTAGCACCAGCCCAGCCATGGGCCAGCCCCCACTGCGCCAGGCCCTGTACATTCCTATTGCTATTAGGTGTATTACGGTAGCACCACCCCAGCCCAGGGCCAGGCCCCCCCATTGCCCAGGCCCTGGACAGACACACATGCACCAGGAAACTGACAATCTAGACCTTGCCCAATGATCCTAATTAAGTGCTAATTAGTACAGGGTGATGGTTGCTATTGCGTTACATGATGATGTTGTTCACTGGTTTCTGGTGGGTGGGGGAGGGGAGAGGGACTATTTTCTCCTGTGGATGGACATGGCCACGGGAGCTTTGGTCGGAGCTGGGTGATGTCACAATGCTGCTCCTGACGCGGGCAGGTAAAGCTGGTGCCCCCCCGAACCAGGCCTCCCCTCACGCAGCCGCCCATGGTGCCCTATGGGGCCACGGGGGTGGGCCGAGCCCGCCCGTACACCCGGGAGCGAGGCCGGAGGCCCCCTGCAGCAGGCGGAAAAGGGGAGCGCCAGGCGGGCAGCCCCAGGCACGTGGGAACCTGACCCCAAAGGTCACAAGCCAGGGGGGCAGATGCCGCTGACCCCCCTAAAGTGCACTGTCCTCTCCTGCTGGGAGGGGCTTTCACCCCGCAAGCCGCACTCCCCCCCCAACAGTATCACCCACAAAGAGCTCTGTGCCCCTGAGAGACCAGAATAAACGTCCCACGCTGAGAGCGCCCCAGGACTGGCTGGCTCTGGGGGGCGGGGAATGGGGCAGTGGGGGGCGCCGGGCACGGGGCAGGGACTGGCTGGTCTTGGGGATGGGGAATGGGGTACGGGGGGCACCGGGACCAGGGCAGGGACTGGCTGGTTCTGGGGGGCGGGGAATGGGGCACGGGGGGTGCCGGTCCTAGGGCAGGAACTGGCTGGCTCTGGGGGGTGGGGAATGTGTCATGGAGGGTGCCTGTCCCAGGGCAGGGACTGGCTGGTTCTGGGGGGTGAGGAATGGGGTACAGGGGGTGCCAGTCCAGGGCAGGGACTGGCTGGCTCTGGGGGTGGGGAATGGGGCACGGGGGGCGCTAGTCCAGGGCAGGGACTGGCTGGCTCTGGGGGGTGGGGAATGGGGGGCGTCGGGCCCTAGGCAGGGACTGGCTGGCTCTGGGGGTGGGGAATGGGGCAGGAGCCTGTCCCCACACTGGCATACTGAACATGGAAGCTCTCTGGGCCGCACCTGCTCTCCAGCTAGAGAATCGAGCCTCCGGGACCCTCCCCTTCCCCCAGCAGGGAATTCGCACCGGCTCCCAGGCTGCCCTGAGCTGCTGCTTCTCCCCCGCGCGGGATAAGCCGCCCCCCCCCAGCGCTGCTATGTCAGGAGCTTCCAGGATCGTCCCCGGATGGAAGAACTTGAAATCTCAGATCTTCCAAAAGCTGCAGATGCCAAAGGTAACGGTGTGAGGGCTGGGAGAAGCAGGGGCCCATTTACTGCTCCAAACGGCCGCTTTCCCGTAGAGATGGCCACATAGATCCCCAGGGGCCGGCCGAGGTACAGACGCCGCACCCTCCTTCCAGTGAGATTTGGGCCTTAGGTCCAGCGACGCTGCCTGGGTCTGCAGACAGCCTGAGCCCATCACTCGGAGAAGGGAGAGCTGCCCTGAGCGTGACAGACGCTGCCTGGGTCTGCAGAGAGCCTGAGCCCATCACTCGGAGAAGGGAGAGCTGCCCTGAGCGTGACAGACGTGGCCGGGGTCTGCAGAGAGCCTGAGCCCATCACTCGGAGAAGGGAGAGCTGCCCTGAGCGTGACAGACGTGGCCGGGGTCTGCAGGGAGCTGGAGGGGGCAGGTGCTGCTCCACCCTCTGGGGCTCCATCGCTGGCAATAACCTGCACCCTCAGCCCCCATGGTGGCACCCCCATGCTGGTCGGAGCCGGCAGCACCTGCGGACACAGGCACCAGGGCAAATCGCCCTCACTCTCCCTCCTTCCTGTGCAGGAGCTGCCCGAGGCGGTGCCAGGGACGCCGGTGCTGCTGAGCGACAGACCCTCCCTTGTGTACCGGGCCAGCCGCCACCCTCACCTCATGCCCCGCATCTGCTTCTACCCGACTCCCACCGCCAACGTCTTCGTCTGCTTCTCCTGGGGGGGCCCGGGGCTGAAACAGGACCAGGTGAGACCCCAGCTGAGCTGTCCCCCGGGGATTGGTGCCCCTCACGCCCTCCACCACGATCTGCCACCCTGGGGGGCTGCGTCCTCCACCTCTTCCCCTTGCCCCAGGGAAAGCGGCTGGTGGAGCCTGAAATGCTCCCAGTGTTGTACTTAAAGTACTGCACAGGATCTTTTCAGGGGGAATAAGGCAAAACGCCACATTTATTAGTAATACATGTATTCATTAACACTGTATCATATGCATATAATATATTACACTTACACACACACAAACACACTCCGTCTTGTTGTTACCAATTAGTTGCTCCCCTTAACTTCACTGGCCAGGTGAGTTAGATGGGGTAGGGGGTGGAGCCGGGCTTCTGCGGATCCGGATCGATGCTCCCATGTTGACAAGACCAGACCCGGGGTCCTCTGCAAGACAC